TGTGTGTGTGTGTGTGTGTGTGTGTGTGTGTGTGTGTGTGTGTGTGTATGTGCGTGATTGTACTGGGGTGGGAGGGAAGGAGGGATGGGCATGTAGCACTCTATTAAGCTTGAGGGAATGTGCACAGAATCCAGCTGGGGCCAGGTCTGACCACCCAGAAGTCACTCAGTTCAGAGACTGAAGCAGGTGAATTGTGAATTGTATATTGTGGGAGGAGACTGAGATGCTTTAAGATCCAGCCCTGAGGGAAATCACAGTTAGAGAGGAGGGAGTCAGAAAGTGAGTGATAGGGGAGAAAAGATAGGAAAAAAGATTGAAAGGATCGGGGATTTCAGGAAGAAGAAAACTCAAAGACCTTGAACATAAGCAGATAAGTTAATAGGGAAAATATCAACAGAAGGAAATATGGTCTCAAGATCCAGTAAACAGGCTCAGACATCTGTTAATAAATACTGCAAAATAAAAGAAAATGATCCAACACTTACTGAGACCCAGGATTCTGTGGAATGTGAGGAGAATGTAGAACAACAAAATACGTTCTTTAATGGTTTAAAAGAGAAATGAGAATTATGAGAACAGAATTTTTATCCCACACAGCAAAAATAATGGACAGAATTAAAAAAACTGGCATCTGCAATTGTGTGGTTGACCTAAGAAACAAAAGAGAAAACAATCGATTAGGAATGCGCATATACAGAAATGAAAGACATTCTAGAAGAGAAGCAAAACAATAACACTAAAAAAGATATGCTCACTATGCAAGCAAAACATGTTGATCATGAAGAGACACCCTAAGTATCATAGGTCTCCTAAAAGGACATGAGAAAACAAAAACCTTTAACACCGCAGTGCAGGAAATAATAGAAAAGAGATGCCCAGAACTTCTGAACATAGAGAAAAAATTCACAGATCTCTTCCAGGAAAAAAAAAAATACAACGCTGCAATCTTCAAGACACACAGTGGTTAGATTTGACAATTCAGTTCAGAAACAAGTTCTAAAATCAACCTTCAGATATAAAGGAAAGGAAATTCCAATAATGCAGGTCGATATTGTACCCACTAGAAAATGTAGGAGAGAATAGAATATGAAGAGCAGTGGAACTCAGGATGCAGCTCAAGGTGACCTACTCTGCAAATGTGAGCTTAACCGTATATGAAAAAAATAGGAATATTCACTAATAAGCAATTAAAATACTTTTTGAAAAAGAAAACAACTAAAAAGATTATTTGCTTCTTGAATACCCCGAACAACAGAAATGCAGAAGGAGTGAATGCGTGCAGCCTCCAATGACAACAGCAACAGAGTGATAGCAGAGAGACCAGTAAGAAACCTGTTTCTAAATATATTCAAGGAGAGAGGGGTGAAAGTCTGGTGGAGGGAACAGTGAAGAGGCAAGTATGGGGTATTACGGACGGTACTTGGTGATACCTTGCCTAGAGGTGAATCGGTGTTTTTTTGTGGGACTACGTTACAACGTAGGAGGGCACATGAAAGGGATGGAGGGAAGTAGAAGGTTAGAGAGAAATATGTGCTGTGGAGATCAAGTCAAGGACTAGCAATGAGGGGAAGGTGAGTCCTCTGATCTCAGAAAGAGAAGAGCCTACAAGGGAGTGGCTGAGGAAGAAGGAGAAGTATTGAAATGGGGGAGGAGAAAAAAGAAGCCCTTGCTTTGGTGAATGCTCCTATGAGTGAAGAGAGATGGTCTGAGAAGGTAGATGGGGTCCTTGTGATGGGTGTGGCCTGGGTGACTTAGTGCTTGAAAAGTCGACTTACCCTACTTTGGGAGGGAGGAGGAAGTTCACACTCTTGGGGGCAACTGGTACCTCCTGATCTGGGAGAGCGTGGACCCAGGAAGGAGATTTTGTGACAAATAGAGAAGAAAAAAAGATAACATGGGGAGGTATAGATCAGTGATGGGCCAGGTAATCAGGGACATAGTGGGGAAGAGGCCCTACCACGGGTCATTGTCCTCCCCAACACCTGCAATACTTGGCATCGTTCTAGGGGCGAGACATAATTGAAAAGGGGAATCCACAGGGCAAGCTCTACAAGACAGTGGCAGAGAACATAAAAGAAATAGGGAGATACCTTCAAAAATATAAAATACCCAAACTATCAGAAGACCAGATAGAGATCTTAAATAATCCAATCTCAGAAAAGGAAATACATCTAACTATAAAGGAACTATCAAATAAAAAAAAAATAAAAAAACCTTCCTGATCTGATGGATTCACAGGAGAATTTTATTAAATTTAAAAAATTTTTAAAAGGAGTACCCATACTTCACAAATTATTCTCAAAACTGAGAAAAAAAGCACCTTACCAGAATCGTTTTGTGAGACAAATATAGCCCTAAAGAAAGATAAATCACAGGAAGAAAACTGTAAGCCGGTATCAATTAATAAACATTGACTCAAAAATTTTGAACAAAAATTTTTGTCTGTCAAACCAACTACAATGATTTATTCAAAGAATTATTCATTGTGAACAAGTGAGATTTATGCTAGGGATGCAAGGTGGTTCAACATTAGGGAGGCAGTTGACAAAATCCTATTAAAAACCAAAGCATCCAAAACCACATGATCATCTCAATAGATGCCAAAAAAAATCCTTTGATAGAGTATAATACTCATGTTAAAAACCCTACAAGTATAGGCATAGAGGGACTTTTTTTAATATTATAAAAATCATCCATTTAAAATCCAAAACAAGCATCATGTGCATCGGAGACACACTAGAACCTTTCCCAGTAAATTCAGGAGGGAAGCAAGGATGCCTACTCTCTTCATTATTATTTGATATAGTTCTGGAAATGCTAACAACAGCACTGAGATGACAGAAAGAAATTAAAGGTATACAGATAGGTAAAGAGGAGATAAAACTATATGTATTTGCTGATGATATGGTAGTTTACTGGGAAAATCCTAGAGCATCAGCAAAGGTACTAATTGGGAAAATGCCTTCAGTAAAGTTTCAGGCTACACAACAAATCCTCAAAAATCAACAGCATTTTCTGTATAACAACAAAACACAAGAAACTAATAGAAAGGGAAATCTCATTCCAAGTAACTACAAAATGTATAAAATATCTGGAGATTGACCTACCAAAGCACACAAAAAACATATATAGATTGAATTACAAAATGCTTCTTAAAGAAATAAAGAAAAACTCATGGCTAGGCCATACCAATATAATAAAAATAATAATATTATCAAAATTAATTTACACTTTTAATGCTATGCCAATCCAGTTACCAAGGGGATACTTTATAGAACTTGGTAAATTAGTTCATTTGGAAAAACAAAAGATCTAGAACATCAAGAGAAATAATGAAAAGAAACAAGAATGAAAGTTGTAATAGCACTTCTGGACCTCAAACCATATTATCCACAGCAGTCATCAAAACCATCTAGTATTGTTTAAAAAATAGGTAACTCAATGAAACAGACTAGAAAAAGGAGAATCAGAAACAAAAGAACTCAATAATCCAGTGTTTGATAAAGTAGAAAACACAAATTAGTTAAGGGAAAAAAATAAAACTCCTTATTTGATGATTTAAAAAAAAAACAAAACGGGAAAACTGGAAAGCAGTTTGGTAGAAGTTAGGCTTAGACCAACACCTTACACCATATTCCATAATACATTCTAAATGGATATGTGACCTTAATCCTAAAGATCATACTATAAAGAAATTAGAAGAGAAACCGATTATATCCCTAAATTGCTCTCACAGCTATGGGTAGACGTATTTTTAACCAAATAAGCAGGGGAGGCAGTTACAAAAGATAGAATAGGAACCTTTGGCTACTTAAAGCTGAAAAGCTTCTGTTCAGACAAAATTAATGCACCTAAGATAAGAAGGGGAGTGGTTGAATGGGAAGAAAAACCTTTGTATAAAATCTCTCTGATGAGGGTTTGGTTTATATAAACAATTTTTATATAGCCATTCCCTAGTAGGTAAGTGCTCAAAGGATATGAACAAATAGTTCTCCAAAGAAGAATTGTAAAGTATTCACAACCACATGAAAGAATGCTTCAAAACACTAATAATAAGAGAAATGCAAATCAAAACAACTTGGAGGTTTCACCTCACATCCTGCAAATTGGCACAGATGACAAAAATGGTAATAGTCAATGTTGGAGGGGTTGTGGAATAATAGGCACACTAATACATGGAACTATGCAATAAAGAACTATTTTGGAAAGTAATTCGGAATTATGCAAATAAAGTGATTAAAATGTACATACATTTTGAACCAGAGACTTCATTACTGGGCTTGTACCCCAAAGAAGCCATCTATAAGAAGAAAGTCCTCATATACTCCAAAATATTTATAACAGCTCTTTTTATGATAGGAGAGAATTGGAAACAGAGTATATATCCATCAATCAAGGAATGGCTGAACAAATTGTGGTACATAGATGTAGTGGAATGTTACTGTGCTGTAAGAAATGGTGTATGTGGCGAATACTGAGAAGCATGGAAAGATCTATGTGAACCAGTGCAGAGTGAAGTAAGCAGAGTCAAGAAAACAATATATACAGTAACTTAAAAAAAATTTTTTTTATTATTAATTAATTTATTTTTCACAATAACTTGTTCAGTTCTAACTCTTTATAACTCTGTGGACCATGCTGTCCATGGAGTTTTCTTGGCAAAGATATTGGAGTGGTTTGCCATTTCCTTCTCCAGTGGATTAAGGAAAAGAGAAGTTAAGTGACTTGCTACATAGCTACTAAGTATCCAAGGCTAGATTTGAACTCGGCTCTCCTTGACTCCAGGCCCAGCACTCACCCTGAGCCACCTAGCTATCTCCATGCAGTAACTACAACTACGTAAATGGAAAGAACAACTACATACCAAAAAATCAAAAGTGAAACTAGAAAGATTATAAAGGTCAAGTGGGACTCAGATGAAGAGAGATGAGAAGACACCCCCAACCTGCCCCTTCATGGAGGTGGGAGTTCCACAGGTGTTATACATTGCATATATTTTTCTACTTTTTCAAAATATTCCTCAGCTGTGCTGATTTTTTTTTTCTTTCTAAAAATACTGTTATGTGGGGTGGCTGTCTGGGAAGTGTAGCAGGAAGGATCCATGAGATACTATGACAATGTAAGAAACAGAAAATATCAGTAAAAACTTACTTTAAATAAACAGCTAGAGGCAAAGATCACCCATAGTCAAAAGCCACAAAGCAATATATTTAAGTTGAGTACAGTAAAGTGTATGATTAAGTTCTAACTTGTGTGCTAAACTAGAGCTGTGTATGTATAGTCACCTATCAGGTACTGAGCTTAATTTATACTCACCTGGTAATTCTGTTCCGTTGTGCAGTGGAAGACACTTGCTCCTGATGCCAGGAGGGGAGAGCCTAGGTGGGGATTTGAGTAGGCACAGGCTACTGACAGAGGCTAAGGGAGTTTGCTGGTAAGGGAAAAACAGTTTGGTGGTGGCAGCCAGTCCATGTTTTTGAGCCGTATCAGGCCTAATTAGGAAGCCAGTCTTATGTGTCTTGGGTTCTTGGTTCTCCTTTTCTTGGTATCTCATTTTTTTGCTTTCTTTTATATCTGATTCAGGATGATCCTGAGACAATTGGGAGCATAATGGCGTTTCTTATCCCTTTTGTAGCCTGCATTTTTCAGGTGGGTTCTTGTTCAACTTTGGTTGGCAGGTTAAACTTGTATGTTTTGTTGTTTTTGTTTGAAGTTTCAACAAACTATTAGGTGCTTGTTTTATGTTGTAATATTTTCATTGGAATTTTAAACAATAGAATATCAGAGCCACAAGGAATCTTAAATATCATTTAGCCTAGTCCCCTCATTTTACAGATGAGGAAGTAGGCCCATCCCAGAGAGGTTTCGACTTGCCCTAAGTCAGACAGTTAGCTAGCTAAAGCTAGATAATTATTCATCAGGCAGGACAAAGGAAGCTTAGAGTTGAGGAAGTAATCTTATCTGGCCTATTCTGTGTTATATTTTGATTTATACTCGTTGAGATACATAATTATGCATAGCTTGAGTGTCAGAAAATAAAATCTTTGTCACACTGTTTAGAAATCATAATACTGAATTAGGTAGACTGGTAGGGAAATTAACCATAAAAATTGCTATTTTAATTCTAGGAAATGTTTTTTACTCTTTTTAGATAATGAAACAGACATAAAGAAATACAGCGGGAACTTTGGATTGTTTTAAATCACTTTTCAGATAGCCATCTACTTAAAGCCAGCAGGGCTCTTAGGTCCCTATGGAATGAGTCAAATTACAATAAAATTTCTGCTAATCACTTCTTTCCAACGGTGAAGTTGGTGAAGTTTATCTGTTACAGAACACTTTAAAGCTAATAGTGTTTTTTTACTTTAAGGTGCCTATGGCACCTGGTGACCATTCTCTGCACATGTAAATAGATATGGATCATTTCTAGAGATTCTGTCACTTACTAGCTAGGTGACCTTAAGCAAATAACTTAACTACTGAGGGCCTGAAAGGGTTTCTTAGATGATCTCCAAGAGCCCTTCTTTCTCTGACATCGAGTGCTGGATTTGTTATCAGAGGACCAGCTTTCAGATTCCAGCTTTGCTACTTTGATGATTTGGGGCAAGTCACATTTCTTCTCTGAGCCTCAGTTTCTTCATCAGCACAATGATGGAGTGGACTGCGTGACCTTTGAGTTCCCATTCACCTCTAAATCTATGCTTCTCCACCAGTCTGTGATAGCTGGGAGGGCAGAAGGACCATACGGTCCGTACTCCTATTTAGAGTTGCAAGAGACCTTAGAGATCATCTCATTTTGCTCCTGCAAATTCTGTAAGTAAGGAAACGAAGTTCTCTGAGTCCTGTGAGTTTATTCCATGTATGAATTAAATTGCTGCACTTATATCATAGTGCATAGGGAAACTGCATGTGGATTATGCAAATTCCAGCACTTATCAACTGTTTAATTAGCTTCTTGGGACCAAATAGCTAGTATGGTTTAGTTTAATATTTTTACCAAGATGTGTCTGCCCAACTTCTTAATTAGAAATTTGTCTTGTTGAATGTAGATAAAAAAAGCCATTTTGCTTTGGAATATGTGGGCTAGAGATATAATTTTTAATATTATAAACTCAGCTAGATGGTAGAAATTATATATGATGTGACTAATATTCTTTTTCATTTGAAATTCTTTTTTATTTGAAACATATTTTTTCCTCTTCTCCCCTCTGTTTTCCTTCCCCCCCCAAAAAAAATCTGATTTGTGTAAAACCTGTTATCTTGTCATAGTAAGAGTGTGACAGTAAGTGACCAAGAAGATGAAAACAGTAATGATAAAAACTAATGCAACATATTTATTGACATTAAAATATTTTACAATAAAGTTTTATATATGTGTGCATATGTATATATATGTAGTAACAGTATAATTATTTTTCAGGGCATACTTACGTGTGTTTATATAATTTCAAAGTTATTTCATTTGGGGGGTGGTAACTGGTTTTTCTGGGTGGCCTGTTTTGGGCCAATAAGGTAATAAGACTGATTTTCTTATGTAATTAATTAAAATTACCTCGTTACATTAGCTATACAGATGTTTGCAGTAAACTTCCTGATTCAACATCCTGTATTTACAATGCTATTTCCCCTTCAGAATTTGTTTACATAGTGGAATGCTAGAGACTCTCCTGCTTTTGATGAAATCTGTAGCCACAGATTGAGGCAAAGAGGCTAAAGACAGTCACCTGTGGCTTACTTCTTAGGAGAATTTGATAGATTACAGCGGACTCCGAATTTTATAGCTGATTAATGTTTAGTATTTCAATGCTAAAGCATGTAGAATTGGGACATCTGTTTATTCCACTATTTATGTTGGTGTATTATCCAAATTCCCCCTCCATTAAAAAAAATCCTTATTTAAATAATCATCCAAAGTGCCTGTCTGGAACACCCCGGAGACCTGGGTTTGTGTTCTACTATTGGCTGGCTGTGTGTAATCTTAGGGGAGTTTCTTCTTCTTTCTGAGCCTCAGTTTTCTCCTGTTGTAATGTGAAGAATTTTTATTTACCTGATGTTTGAGGCTCCGTATAATTCTGACAATCTTTAAATCTCCTTTGGATTGCTTTATTACATCTTGAATCATAAGGAATGGTGTAAATATGTTAAAAAATAGAGGTGTCTATAGCCACTTCTGTCTGATGCCAAGCCACAAATTTTCCTTGTCTTTGGTATGGACTATATTTTGAGAGGAAAAACTGCTGATCTATTCCCATTTGAGACCATCTTATCAACTCCTAGATAATGTCAACTGAGGCCAGATAAGGTCACTCCTTATTTATATAAATGGAAGACCCAGCAACATGCTCTCTTTTTCTGCATTTTTGAAGGATACCACTGTGAGAGACTTGTTTTAAAGAATTACAGGAAACATAAAAGCAGGACACAACTTTCAAGAAACCAAAATCTTCTTAATTATTTAATACAAAAGTGGATCATGAAAATCTGTGATGTAGCAGTGAAAATTTCAGGCTTCTGGAATCCCAGAGTTAGAAAGGACTTCTAAGACCATCTCCTCTGACCTCCCACCCTAGACAAGAAGCATAGGGTTGTTGTGTGGAAGGTACTTTGTAAATCTTCAAGTACACATGAGTCCATCCCCTCTATGGTCTTCAACCCCTGAAAAGTGATCAGCATCTCTGCTGGACACTTCCATTGATGGAGAGTTCAGTACTTCACCCAGCAGCCCATTGTCAGTGCAATTCAGAAAACAAGTAAGTGCCTCTTTCACATGTTCAATGCACTGTGTTGGTGCTAGGAATACAAAGACAAAACCCAAAGCAGGCCTTGTCCTCAAGTTCCTTTTCTGTTGAGTTAAAACCTACCACACTGTGTCTTTTCCTTCCTGATCCTAGTTGTAGCCTCTGGCTACAGTAGATCATCTGATTCTGTTTTTAGTGACAGCTTTGCAGATGATTGAAGAAAGTGCTCATGTCTTATAACAGGGTGGCCTCCATGGTTTTCAGTAATGGACTGTCTGATCAGAAAGCCATGTGTGTAGGACACATGAATAAAATTATGTTATTAGGATCATAGGATAATAGATTTAGACTTAGAAGGCACCTGAGCACCCACCTAGTCCAATCCCCTATTATTAAAGACATTAGGCTTCAATTACAGTTTCTAATTGACTCAGGGCAGTTGGTGTGATACCTCGTGCCCTGCCCATCCAGGATCACAAGGCCCAGCCTGGAGGGTCAGAGGCTCTGGCCATTGCATCTCTTGCTGCTTAGTACCTAGGAGGTGATTCCATTCTTGTTGAATTTTTAGTCATGTCCATAGTAATAGTGGCTGGCACAGGGTTAAATCCTTTTGATGTACCAGTTCATGTGTGCTAGCAATTAGGACAGATTTCTTTTGGCCAGAAAGCATGGCAGGAGCATAGTGGGGAAGCAGGGGAGAGGGTCAGGTGTTTCATCTGTAGCCATCGTGTTCAACATTGGAGACCTATACTATGTATGTGTGTGTGCATGTGTTTGTAATTTTCTAGCTTTTGAGAATATTTTGTAAATCATAAAATGCCATATCAATATGTTGTTATTTTTATTGAGTCGTTTCAGTTGTATCTGAGTCTTTGTGACCTCGTTTGGTGTTTTCTTGGCAAAGAAACTGGAGTGGTTTACCGTTTCCTTCTCCAGCTTATTTTACAGTTAAAACTGAGGCAAACAGGGTTAAGTGACTTATCCAGGGTCAGACAGCTAGTAAATGTCTGAGTCCACATTTGAGCTCAGGTCCTCCTGATTCCAGGGCCAGTGCTCTATACATTGCGCCACCTAGCTTCCCTGTAGTATATCAATATAAACTTTGATTTATTAGAAGGGAATCTGTAAGTATTAAGCTTTATATCCTCATTTGACCGTTTCATTGTTGTTAATAGGACTTCTTTCCTTCTGTCCTTGCAGTGTTATCTGTACCTGTTCTACAGTTCCACAAGGCTTCTGAAGGTGGCTGTCATCCTGTTCTTCATTTGCCTGTGCAATATTTACCTGCATGGACTAAGGAACCTCTGGCAAATACTCTTCCACATAGGAGTGGCTTTTCTGTCTTCCTATCAGATACTGACGAGACAGCTTCGAGACAAAGTGCTTGATGGTGGGGTTTGAGACCCTGGGGCACTAAGGCTTGGACTGGCCACTCTCCTTCTTTTCTCAATGAGGGGGAAGGGCAGGAGAATGCACAGTTTTTCCTGTGGAAAGAGGGTTACGGCCACTTGTCTGGTTTGGTCTTTCACCTTTCAGTTTTGGGTCTTGTGGGTACGTGTTCAACTAGACTGGACAGAAGAACTGAAGGTCTGGACTTCATCATAACAGATGTAGTTGAAGGGAAGAAGCGAGCTTCTGTGTACCGCATACATTCCAGGTGGATACAAAGCAGAGGGAAGGCTCTCCCATTCAGTTTATCATCTTATTTGTAATAGTAACAATGACTTACATTTCTGTAACACTTCAAAGTTTACAAAGCCCTTTCCTCCCAGTAGCCCTGTGAGGGTGGTAGTGCAAGGATTATTATCCTGATTTACAAATCATAGGATTATAGATTGAGATTCAGTGCCATAATGTCCAACCCATTCATTTTTCAGATAAGGAAACTGATGCACAGAGGTGAAGTGATTTGCCCAGGGTCACACAGCTAGGAAGTGTTGGAACCTGGATATGAACTCAGGTCTTCAGATGCTGAGCCTCGCCACTTGAACAGGAACACATTTGTAAAATATTATCCAGTAACAAAAATAGAACTACTTTAGAGTGGAATAATCGAATCAAGAACTGAAAGAATGTTTTTTGTTGTTGCTGTGCTATGCAGTCATGTGGTAGAGGTAGAGATACTATTTTTGGAGATTAGTTGTTTGCCTCAGAAGAACTCCTTACTTCTTACACTTTTTAATTACTTAATTCTCTTGAATTAGCCAAAATGTGATGGCAGACATTTTAAAGAGTGTCTGTAGATACTTTTAAAAGTAGTTACTTTAAAATAGTCACCAGAATAAATTATGAAATTGATATCTAATTGCTGTCTAAAAAACACAAGCTAATTAGATTTTCTGGAAATTAATTTTAAAGTTTCCAGTGCTGATTAGTATGATATAGCCCAAATTCACTTTTTTTTTAACTTTTTTTTTTCTTTTTTAGGCAATTGGGGTTAAGTGACTTACCCAGGGTCACAGTAAGTGTCGAGTGTTTGGTCTGAGGCTGAATTTGAACTCAGATCCTCCTGACTTCAGGGCTGGTGGTCTATCTACTGCGCCACCTAGCTGCCCCCCAAATTCACTTTTAATGCTCATCTGGCATGAAGAAAAATATGAGCTTTCCTAGTAGGGCTATTTTAATTTTTTTTTTTTTTTCATCATTTTAACCTACCTGGTGGTGAGAAAATTAACTAAAGAACTTTTGGGTAAGCAGATACCTATTTGCAACTATTTGTACTATATAAAAGGCTATGACCTAATCATTTTAAAAAATTTACTAATATTACATATATTGAGCGTATTCAGATGAATAGACCTAAATGACTGGAAAAGCATTTATTAAGCACTTATTAATGTGTCAGGCATTATGCTAAACACTAGGGTATGATAGTTCAGGAATTGCTTGCTAGATATGATCTCTAGTTGGCCAGTAACTGGGTTAAATAAATTATATAGACTCAGGAGCACTGTTTAATGTTGATTGAGAAGAAATGCAATAGAAAAGAAAAATGAAGAGAGATGAATTAAAATCAGATAGGTACAGAACAGTTGGTAAAACTTTATGTATCTGAAATCTACCTGTCACAACAAATAAAGTAGTTGGAATGAAGTTGTTTGGTTGTACAGTTGGGGTAGCACCCTTGCAGGGCCACTATTGAGCTCTAAAGGCTTAGGAACTTAATATTATCATCCCCTTCCTCCCTCATTTCCCCTGTTCCCACACCATCCAGCTTGGTCAGGCAATAACTCATATTACCCAAACTCACACGAGATGACTGAATTATAAACCAGAATATAAATTTATTAATTTACCACAGAAGCCGCTTTGAAGCTGGCCAGGTGATTAAATGGTTAGTCAGCACCATCTGTTAGTCCTTTGTGGAAACTCTACTAGGAAAACCAAGTTAATAATAGAACTTGGCTTGACTAGTTAGAGCCAGAACCAAGAGACTTTAGAAAGTGTTAAAGGATATTGGCCTTAAACTCTAATAGCTGGAAACATTCTTTTCATAGGGATCTACTTCATTGTAGACTGGAAGCTTTTGCTTATTAATTAGGATATCTTCTCCCCTGCAGAGTTCTGGATCGGAATTAAGAGAACTTTTTGGTTTTCTTCTTTTCTAGATTCTATGTAGGCCTGCCTTTCTCTTGTGACATCATTGTCCTGAATGTTACAATGAGTTTGACCGGGTCCTAATTTATTTTACCTTATTTATCCTTCAAATGGTTATATCCTCAGGGTAGTTTTGGGAACTTTGTTAGCCTCATCAACAAATACCATCTCTTCATATAAGTTAGTTTAATGGGTATCTAATAACTTTATCCATTTTATATTTATTCCACTGTTCAACACATGTTTTGTCTCATGGGAATTTTGTGGTGCTTTATATGTATTTTTTTGATGCTGAATTCAAGAACACCAATGGAATGCGTACTTACCGAGTAAATGAATTTTTATAGAAATATACAATATGAGGGAATAATAAAATATGGTTTGATTGAAGAGGAAGTGGAAATGTGTAGGACAGTTGAGATGTGTTCTTATCTGTGTTTAGTTATGCAGTGAAACTCAACATGTAGCAGACTGTTCTGTGAGTTGTATGTTCACTGTCATTTGGTAAACATTACGATTATTTCTGATCATGTTTTCTCAAATATTTATATTTTGTTCACATTTTTAAAATTACCATTGTGTCTCATAAGTGTGTCAACCATCTGAATGTTTTTTAAGTGTGTGGTGAACTAACTTTTAAATGTCATAGTTAAGACTTTATCTCTGTGGTCAGGAAAACATATGGATGGGCTCTCTTGGTTGGTGATCAGAACAGGACTTGGTCCCCTTACCTGTGCTCTGTCATTGGGCTTAGATCACTGAGTGGCTAGATACATAGATCTTGTCATGGATCATTTGGAATTCCTATAATTTGGGGAGAACAAAAAGAGTATTCAGCAGATTGCTTTATAAAATAGTAGGGATTGCCTCCAAATGGCTCTCAAGACTTGATTTACACGGGGAAGATTTACCTGTACCAGAACCACCAGACAGTTGGAGTTTGGATGAAGATAATGGACCGGATAGTGATGGAGAGGCTCAACCTGCCAAGGAGTAGGAGATAAGCACGCAGTTGTTCCCCTGATGGAAGTAATTTTTCCATCCTCACCTCCTCCTTTAGTAATTCAAGAAGACCTAAACGCATCACCTTGTTGGTGATGGTATCCAAAAATGAATCCAAACTTTGAGGCAAAAAAGGCTGGACTCTCCCGCAAGAGGGCACTAAAACATATTCAAAACAGGACATTCCTCTTGAGAAGCGGATCTCAAAGGGATTCCTCTTTTACTAGGATTATGTCTTGGGTTTACCAGATACTGCTGTGTTATTTGTGATCAGGGCAGCAGGGAGAGAATATCAACTAGCACGTTAGAAAACACTGGCTTCAAAGAACTGATTTCAGGAAAGAAAAAATGTGGACACTAGTCAGCCATAAGAAGTTTTCTTACCACTGCTGCATGTTAAGTTTAGTGTGAGATTTATCAAGATGGTGGATTAAATTGGTGCGGACTTAATTTTTTTCACCTGAAAAGTGAATTTCTAAAAGTCCATGAGGCTAAAATCAAAATGACATTTGTTGGGTCGTCAAATAAGGAAAGTGATGAAAGGTGAACATTTCAGAGAACAAAGGAGCTGTGTGAAATCCTTCTGAAAAGTGACTAAAGACTTTCTTGCAAAATACTAAAGCATAAAATTTCCAAGGAGTTTGAATGAAGATGAACCTGATTACTTAGATTGTAATGGTGGGCACAGCATGACAAGGTAGGAGGCCAGCAAGGTGCAGATTCCCTTTTGAAGTAACCTTCCTGTCTGTTGTCAGTGACTTTTTGGAAGCTTATAACGTTATAGAATGGAGTGTCACTCAAGAGCCTTGGAGTCATATTTGGACTTCTTCCTGGAAAATTGAGGTGCTATCCGTGATGAGCACAGAAATCTCTACACTGGAAAAACAGTGCCAGGGCCAGCACAGTCCAAACATGCCAGCTTACTGCTGTTGGGAGCTAAGGAAAAATGTTACACAGCTGAAATGTTGTAATTGTTTTAGTTGTTTTTCGATCATGTCTGACTGTTAGTGACCCCATTTTGGGTGTTCTTGGCAAAGATACTGGAGTGGTTTGCCATTTTCTTCTACAGCTCACTTGACAGATGAGAAACTGGGGTAAACAGGGTGAAGTGACTCTCCCAGGGTCACACAGCTAGTAAGTGTCTGAGGCTGGATTTGAACTCAGGAACATGAGTCTTCCTGACTCCAGGTCCAGCACTCTATCCATTATGCTGCCTAGCTGCCAGCTGAAATACAACAGGAAATAATCCATAGCTGGGAGTTAAACTAAACTGTTTTGCAAAAAATTATTTTTAAAAAGTATAAAACTGATTCCAGTGAAGTTGGTAGGTGGATAAAATCCATATTTGAAACCAACAACAAAAAAAGTAATACGAGATTCACCCATATTTATGAATGTGACGAAAAAGAAGCTTGTTGTCCAAGGGTGTTTTTTGTTGTTATTTGTTCCTTTTGTTTTACTTGGTCCTTAAATTCTGGGAGTGAACCCTATTTGAACTAGTAATACCCTAGGCACTAACCTAATGAGATAACTGGAGCTCTTGATTAACTGGACTGTTTTCTCTGCTTCAGAATTTTAATGGCAGTGGATTTTTTAAAAACCTTGAAGCAGGGCTCTCTTAGTTTAAAACTTCTCTGTTCCCCTCCCTTCCCTGAAAAAAGAGATAACAGAGTGAGGAAGGATTAGTATGGAGGTCTGGATTTGGAACCAGAGGACCTGGGTTCAAAATCCAGATCTGCCATTTTCCCTTGTGTTTAACCTTGACTCAGGTTCCTTATTTCTGGAATGAAAGGATTGAGTTAGATGGCATCTCAGGTACTTTCAAGCTCTTGAATCTGATCTTGTGAGCTTCCAGGGGATGTTTTAGGGGGAGGGTTTCAGAGCAGGCCTAGTCTCTTAGGCCTGTCTGTATGGACAGTGACCATGGATTGTCAAACTGTATAATTGTCATCCCTAAGAGAGACTCTTGTATCATGGGATGTCTTTGAGGCTGGCAGGGGCCTTAGAGAATATTTAGGCCGGTGCCCTCATTTGACAAACAAGGAAACTGAGTCTCTTCTTGTCTAAGAATTGGAGATGATGGTATTTGTATAGGGCTATTTTAAAATCATGTATGTGAAAGTGGTTTGCAAAATATATAAAGTGTCATACATGTAGGAAGGGGTAGTAAATATCACAGGCTTCTCAGAGTAAATCCTGTGTAGGGAGTGTGGTACCAAGGAGAGGGGACTTATGTTTTAGTAAGACTTTAAAACAAAGGTTAAAACAAAATGATGTTCTCATTCCTTAAGCATC